TCGGATTTAATCATGTATGAAGAAATGTAATTTTGGAGGACACCAGGGCAGAGCCTGTTGATACGGCTATTAGTTACTAAGTGAAAAGGCGTGTCCGCATTCCCCAAACATGAATTTATGAAGCCTGTTTGTGATTTCAATCTGACTAATGCATCAGAACAAACCCATCTGTGCAGCACTGACCCCTGAGGTGAGTGTTTGGGGGTGAGGGTTGCGGGTGGAGTGAATGTGAGCGTGGGCGTCCAATTTGAGCTCCCAACATGTACTTAGGCAGCCAGTGAGAGACAGGCTTGGGAAAAATAAAGTAAACCATAATTTAATTCTAATGTTTTACATATTAAGATATCATCAAAGATCCGCTCCTGACCAGGTTCTAAAATTATTCAAATCTAGCCAGATCCTACAATACCATTATTTATTAAACAAAAATCTATCTGTGGAGTCTGAGTTGAAGATTTGTTTGGTAAATTTTACTTGATTTGATCATTGCACAGTCTGAACTCGGGGTGAGTTTGCTTGTCTGTCCACTCCTAGAAACATTGGCTGCAGTTTTAAATGGTTCCACTTACATAAGAAGGATGAACTCCAAGTTGTTTAGAAATGATTTCCGATTCTTCCCGGATTGACAGACGGCAACAGTTGCTTCTCTAAGATCATTGCTGATGTCTTTCTACCTTGGCATTGTGCTAACACACCTGTATGCTTGTGAACAGCAAACTGCACACACTACTTTTACGTTTTTGTTTAATTGAATAAATGTTTATGAGGCATTCATAATATTGTGATCCATTTTTCTTCCGTATGTTTTTCAGTGCAATTCTCGACCCAGTTTTCAGCTGTTTCAACAAATCATAAATCAAAACGTTCGGCTGTTTCAGGACAATCCTGCTGTGACTTTTGGTATTGGTGCAACTTTAGCTTTTTGAAATATTTAGCCTTTTCTGCCATTTTTTCCCCTCATAAAAAAATGAATTGAGCTCATTTTACATCCTTCAAATCTTTAGATGTGTTTACAACCTTTTACTGCTTCTTTCACAATTTATTCTGCTTCAGCTTCTTTCAACTTCCTTGTGCAAAAAAAAAAAAAATCATGTTTTCAGCTGTTTTGTTTTCCTTTCATCTTTATTCTGTCAACTACAACATTTTTGAGCTTCTTCTAACTTATATTTGCTCTTTTCAGCTTACTTCTATAAGTTTCCACTATTTCAGCTAGTAGCCTATTTAGCTTTATGAATGCTAATTTTAGCTTTTTCAGCTAATTCCACATTTTTTGCACTCATTTCAACTTTTTCAGCCTAATTCAGCAAAAATGTGCTCTCTGCACTTGCTTATCGTAATTCCAGCATCTTTGCAGATGTTTTTTTGTTGTTGCAAATTTCTGCTTTTTAAGACAATTTCCACTTTCTTGTGCTCATTTCTGCTTCTTTAAATCTAATTGGGCACAATTGCACTCTCTCCACTTCCTTTTGGTAATTTAGGCTTCGTTCTGCTTTTTAGCTATTTTTGTTGTTGCTAATTTCAGCGTTTTTCTTGCTAATTAACTCATTTTTGTGCTCATTTCCACTTATTCAACCAATTCTTACAGCTTTCTTCTGCCAACTTAGGCTTGTTCTTCCTGTTCAGCTACATTTCAGCATGTTTTTAGCTAATTTATTCAGCAAGTTCTTCTAGTATAAGCATTCACGCTGCATTTTCGCAGGAAATTCAATTTCTCTAATGATATGGTGGAATATCTTGTGCATTTTGTACACTTCAAAATAGATTTAAACAACTTTATAACCTGGTAATGGCCACGTCATGTTTATCATGTCCTCATATGTAAAACCCTCAAATTGACAAAGAGCAGTGTGGTTTATTTTTCTGATGACTGCAAATTAAATGAAGCTACATCAATAAATCCTGAAGCATTAAAAAAATAAAAAAACAGTGGAGGAGGAATAATATCACATCAGACCAAGTTCCATGGGAAAAATTTTATTTATCAATATGCTGTAGTTTCCAAACTGGTGGAACGTTGTTTCCATTGTAGCTGGTGCCAACAGGTTATGCTGAGAAGCGGCAAATAAGAGAATGGCAGCAAAAAAAAAGAAGAAGAAGAAAATGTAACAAAAATTTGACAGTTGTAATTCAAACAAAGGGAAATAAATTCAACAGGTTTTTGTTTTCACATGCACGTTGAAAAAAAATAATACTGTGGCTTTGAACAAAAGCAGTAATCAACCTACTGTGAAGCTCATACTACGAGGAACATATTTGTGCTAAATTAGGAAAGGAGGGATGACAAAAGGGAGCGGCGGAGGGAGAGAAAGAGAAGGGAGAGCATCTTTAAAACAAAGGACCGCCTGGGAAATAATGAGCGGTGTAAACCGGATGATTTATTAGAGGGGACACCGTGGTCACACTCTCATCCGTGGCCTCTTTTTTTCTTCTTCTTTGCTTCTCCTCCTCTTTTCTCCGCCTCTCCCCATCTGGCTCCATGGACTTCTTAAAAGTGAGATAAAGATGTGGACCAACGATGAGGAGCAGAAACAAAACAGATTCAAACGCAGAGATAAGTGCCGTCTCCAACAGGGCCTCACCGTCACCGCTTCAGTGACCGATCGTTTCAAAGCCACTCGGTGACGACGCTTCAGTCCCAAATATTTTCAGAGCAACTAAAATTCTTGTTGAATGGAAATGTAAAAAAAAAAAAAAAAAAAAAAGAATCCTAGTTTTAAGTTTTTGTCAAAACACATGTAGCAACAAAGACTTGGACAATACTGGACGCTGTGTAAAAGACAGCTCGCGTGACTGTTGCAATATTCTGCTCAAATCTAAAGAAAAAATTTAAAACATGTCGAAGACAAAAAAAAAAAAAAAAAAAATCAAGGATTCATACAAAACACACTTTTTTGTTTAAAAAGACGGCTATTTACAAACATCCTCCATTACAAAAATCTAATCTTAAACTTTTCTTATGAGCAGTGTTCAGGTGAAATTACATCTTAAAACTGGGCTCTATCCATATATTTACATTTCTCAGCTTCCTCCTTTAATTCTTCCTACCGCCGTGACCCCAAACATTAAGCGGTCACTAGGATGAATGAAAATGAGATATGGTTCGTGGTAATTTGGTAACGACTCCCTAAGCTGGTGTAGCTAAATGGATGCGCGGCAATCCGGAACAAAAACGTACGCTCTAGATGGGTTTCGCAGACGTCCGCTGAGAGCCGAGTTAAAACAGCACCGCAAAAAAACACAAGCAGCTGTTTAGGCTGTTAACTCGGAGGTTAACGACACACGAGAGTTCTCCCCGAGTCTTGGAGCTGGGCTGCCTTGGTGCCTGTCCCAGGGTGATGTTAGTGCTGTTCGTGGCAGCGGGTGATAGGTGCCTCTGCCGGTGAAGAAGCATCAACAGCCAGTCTGACTGTTTGACAAGAGGTAAACCTGGACCTGTCAGTCTCCGTGTGTCCGTGTGCGCGCACCTGTACACGTGCGTCCCAACAACGACAGCTCGTACCGAGCAGTGACTGTCCCTCCGTCTCCTCTCACATACCATTAGTCGGGCCTGCAGCGCACCCCGTCCCTGAAACAAGCCTGCACATAGAAGCAGCAAAACATAAGCCCAGACCCGTAGGCGTCCATGAGTCCACACAAACCCGTCCTGCTCGTCCACGCACACACGCACCCAGCTGCAGTAAAGCCCACCTTTAGCGCTGCTGCCCTGGGCTGTATAGCTCGGCTGCAGTGTCCTCGCTCGCTAAACTCCTCGACTGTGGAATATTCTGCACGGCATTTTTATTCACAGCACAGCTGGTGAGAGGACAGGGGGGGGGGGGGGATGAACCACCTCCCACACCCACGCCTCACCCATCGCCCTACCATCCCTGCTCTGAAGTGAAAGCCCAGTCACAGGAATATTTCCTCCTTTATATGCCGCTGACTCCCCCCTCCCTGCAGCAAGTAAGTGTGGGCATGAAGATGGCACATAACTACTCACGCTGGCACACTGCGCTGCACTGACTCATTTACAGACCAGTTGGCATCCGACGATACTGCATCCACAAATCCAACTTTTATATAGGGCATCCTACCTGTGCAGTCATCCAATCAGTGCAAGCCATCCAACCGACGCTCACCCTGGGGCCCAATGTTTGAGGCCTGAACTGTGGCACCAGAAGATAAAACAAACAAATACGAGCCTGCCTCCTGTCTGGAACTCTAAAAGACAATCCAGTAAGATCTTTAACTGGTGCCAGCTGGAGCGGTGAGGCTTTGTTGCATCTTGTCTGTTTATTACCAAATCACTGTGTTTTTTTTTTTAATTTTATTATTTTTAAAGCTTAGGCTACAGTATCATAGCATTCTACTGCAAAGCCAATAAAACCTCCCCTAATCTGGACATGTCCAAACACATGCAGAGGACACACCCTGAACGTGTCATAAACACCAGAGTAATGGGGAAACGTATCGGAGCTACGCACACGCACACACCTCGACATCCAGAGTCCAGGTCCAAGTCTTTTCAAAGTAAATAAATGAGAGTAATGACCGATGTGAGTGGTGAGACGATGATAATCATTTAGCTCTATACATTGTGCACTGGTAGGAAAAGTCTAACAAAATACAACTGCTTTGTGAACTGGATCAGGGTTCAAGGAAGTCCTCCATCAAAAAGAGTAAGGCAAACATCAGAGGTGCGAGGGGAGAGGGACACGTCGTTTCACACACTGTGTAAGATACCTGAGCTATCTGGAGAGCTTCCTGGCCCAGTGCGGGACACCCAGCCCCCCCTCGACTGTCACACACAAGCACACGTACACGCATGTTTTCTCGCTGCGGGGCACTTGGGCTCTCGCCTGCCTCGCTCCCGGCTGGTGTGCCGGGGATGTTTAATTGGGTGTAGCACAGACTGTACTTCAGGGAGCTGAGATAAGCTATATCCTGTCCATTAACGGGGACAGCAAACCACGAAGCTGGAGTTCCATCTGCTGGTTGGTTGCTCTGCCCCCCCCCCCCCCCCGCCCCTTTCTGTCTGTCAGCAGGGGAGCAGATAGGAGGTGAAGGCAGGAGGGGGAGGAAATGCGGTGGGGATTGTCAGACAACCCAAACAAACAGAACAGACCTCTCTCATCAGTCCGCTTGCAACCCCGCTGGTTACTGGTCAGTGCGTTTCTCCAGATTTGTGCAGCAGGTGGTAGAAAGATCGGGGGCATCAAGCCCCCATAATGCAAAGGGAAGTGTTCTTCCCCAGAACGTTAATCAGGCCCTCCTCGTTGCTCCCTCTCCTGGCTGTGCGAGGCGTGTCAGACCTTGTAGTAGATGTTGGCAGGGCTTTGTGGAGGCATCTCCTGGACTATGTAGACTGGGTGGCCATAGTCGCCGCTCACCTTCTCGTAGTGAGGGCAGTAGTTGTTCTCTGTCCGCAGAGGAATGATGATGTCACTGGGCTCAGTGCCGGCTGTGCCGCCCGGCAGTTTGGGATTGGACAGTGTGCTGAGCGACAGCGCCGAGGGGCGGGCCTGCGAGTGGGTGTTCTTCCTGGTGCGCTTGCGCATCTTGATGAGGAGGATGATGAGGAGGAGGATGAGCACGAGAAAGATGACGCAGCCGGCCGCGATGGCGGAGAACACAGCCACTTTCGAGTTGAGGAACCCGTCCGTGTTGGAAGGGGGCCCCGCCGGGTCCTGGTTCATGGAGTCTGGAGAGACAAACAGATACAGACTTAAGAGATGGAAGATCAGACAAGGCTGACAAGTCATCATGTAAATGTAGGATAATGGAGAGCCATATATGAATCTGTTTGACTTTTTTAAATCAAAGCTTTGCAGTTGTATTTCACAATATGAGGAAGGTTCAGAGGTTAAAAAAGAGAATCTGCCTTAGGCGGGCTTTTCTTCTTCTTTATTTTGTCTTCACTTGGACCACCAGAAAGAAATTCAGGCGTGTTTCATCGTGGTTTTGCTGACTATATTAGGGGTGCACCGACTGCAGTTTTCTGGCCGATCACAGATTTCTAAAAAGTCTGAGCTGCTGATTCCCATTTTGTTTTATAAGTGACACTGTCAGGTTATAAGGTCGCAATACACCTTCAGTTTTCTAATATTATTTTATGGAAAAACATACCCTTGAACAATCTCCTAGAAACAATACAAACTTGTTTTAACTGGACATGAGGTAGTGCTCTGAAATATAAATCAAGTTCTGAAAATTGTTGTTAAAACTACAAAAAAAAATTGGTTCCTCATGTACCGGTAAGTATCGACCGATCTCTGATCTCCTAAAATTAAGGAAATCGGCACCGATAAATCAGCCGGCCGATTTATCGGTGCACACCTAGACTATACCCAGCTTTATTTATCGTTGAAACCCGATGATCGATCAAATCATGTTCAGATCTTTAGCTCCAGATCAAATGTCTGACAACAGCCTTCAGTCCCTTGGCTCTTTACCTGATGACATATTTGCAAAATAGAAAATAAAACCTTTGTGTTATCTCAGACAACTCTCAGACAATCTGTTTTTTGGGTAAATGATTGTCACATAAAATATGGCTCCAACAATCCCTCTGCTGCTTTTGAAAGCAATTAGAAAACAGATGTATGGGTTTTGTTCTTCATCACACCCAGACTATTGAACACTTGCTGTTCCTGCCAAGAGTCTGTCTCCAAATGGTCCAAAGATCTGCTGCTAGGCTCCTCACCCGGACTGTACCTCGCTCTCATATCAGCCCAGTTCCAGTGTTTTTACACTGGCTTCAGATCAACTTCAGGCTTCAATAACAAGAAATAAAAAAACATGTTCTTGTGTATTAAGCCAAGAACCGTCAAGATCCTGCTGATATCAGTGAACTTTTAATTCCTTACACACCCTCGTAGACCCAGGAGGTGTTCTGATCGAGGCTTAGTTGTTTCTTGTTCCAGATCTAAAACACAAGAGGACTGGTCCTGGTCCCAGACTCTGGAGCAGTCCTCCTATGGGAGACTGGATTGCAAGCTCTCTTTAAGACCTCCATTCTTTCCAAAAAGTTTTTCTTCTTTCTTTTAACTCACCTATTTCGGGACTATCCTTGGCAACATTTAGGTTTTTTTATTCTTCTAGCTTTTTATGTTAAGGACGATGTAACCTACGTTTTGAAACCAGCCCCTTAATTAAAATGCACTTACTTAACTTTTTACTCTTTTTAAAACACACTTTTTTAATCATTCAGTTTATTATTTGGTCTTTTTTTTAAACAAAAGACGGTTGTGGTTTGTAATTAAGACATCAAGGGAACAGTTTTGTCACGTCTGTCTGACAGAACAGGAGGGTCCGAAGAAAACGTTATTAACATCGGCATCTTGTTTATTTGTAAAATGAGATAAAGCGACCCTCCCCCACACGGTAATTTTCTCCTAGGGACCGCAGAATATTAACAGTATGCCTGTTCTGTCATGTGCAAACCATACTAAATCAACTGGGAGCGCATCCCACTTTCTTGTTTGCTCAACATGACTAACAGCCTCATTGATGTAATCTAAATGAATCAGCTCAGCCAAAATAGGCTTCTAATGAACTCTGTAGTCAACAGTCGACATGAAAAAGATCTCCGCTCAGATACGGCTCCAGGAGAACTTGTAGAACATGGTGGGACCACGATTGCGTGGCAAAGGCCGAGCGAGAGATGAACAAACGCGGAGGGCATATCCGAACATCTGATTCTATTTTATCCTTTTGTTTGAGGCGTTCGGGACAGCAGAGAGAACGGCTGGCTCCTTCTGCGACTGAAACTCGAGAACAACCAAATCTGTTTTCCATGTATGCGTGCAGCTGCTGCCAAAGAGCAGCAATCCCCCTTCTCCCCCCGCTGCCATCACTCTTTTACTGTCCATGACCCCCCTAACCCCTCACCCCCTTTATACTTCCACAAGCACACAAAAGTCTCATACCTCAAGGTCCTGCCAAACCCACTAATGACTGTGTCTCGGCGTACTGCTGGCCACTTTTTGCACTTAACAATTTATTGATAAGGGGATAACTGCGCTTGAGACTTATCGCAACTGAATGACACGATTGAAAGCTACCAATTGGAGTCTTATCGGGTGAAATCAGAGGCCGGAGGAATTTTGTATATTCTGGGCAGTGGAGAGAGGCTGTCAGAAATCTCATTCCTGAAATATCAGGTCTCTCAAACTGCAGCCACTCGTCCTTCGTTCCACCCTCACCTCGACACAATCACTGATCTAACAGTGGCAGGCTGGTAAAAACTGAGGTGCGCTGCAAATGTGACATTAGGAAGTCTTTTTATAGAGCGACTATTGTCTAATAAGCAATTATTGAGAAAGTGTGGCTTATCACGCTGGGACAGGCAGAACAGTGTGAACTTGGAGGAAGTTTGTGGCGTACAAAGTTGTGGAGTAAGACAAAAAGTTACTGTGGGAGAGTGGGCTTAGGGGGAAAAAGTACTTCTTCCTTCTGTGAAAACATACAAGAACGCAGGAGACAAGGAGAGCACAGAGCAGCCGCCGAGGCTCAAACAACTCTCCTTCTTTTATCACTCCTTTTAATCTTCATTTATCAGCACTTCCCTAATGAGACTTAAATATATAGATATGAAGACGTGAGTCTCCTGTGGCGCGGCGCACTCTTTATGACTCAGCTGTATTTGTTTAGGGTGTGGTTTTAGGTTTCATCCAAACCCTCATTTTACAGAGTTTCCCTGTATTCTGCACAACACTGGTTTTACAAGTACTTCAGCATGTTGAGGGCACAACCAAAAAATAATTAAAACAAATGTTGCCATGTCAAAGCCAAACAGGGTGTTATACACTTTGAGTGGCTTAACCATTATTAAAGAAGCCAGTGCACACGTATTAAAGCACCCTTAATTATACTATTCAGCCATTTTACTCCCGTTTCTTCCCAAATTTTGATCTGCTGCCCACTTTACAGCTTAAAAAAGAAAAAACAAATAAAAATCAAAACATGTGGAAAAGCTAGAATAGCATGATATCACTTTCAGTAGCAACAAACCATATGACATAGATTACATATGTAAAATAACAAAAAAGTAAAATCCACATGGGATTGTAGCAAAGTGTGTGGAAAAACCCCAGGGCTCCTTGGAGATCTACATCTCTGACAGACATCCCAGAAGAATCGTTCAGAGGTTAAATGGGTCAAAAAAAAGTTAAGACTTTATATGAATGAACTGCCATTTGGATTTGTTTAACAAGTTTTACATTATTGTAATTAAAGTTTTATATATTTTTTAAGATTTTACCATGAAATGTTCAACTTATAGAATAAAGTCACTCTTGTTTGATCTATCTAAACAGTTTTTATACATTCCCACAAGTTTTAGATTTTTATTTATAGGTCACACATCCCAATGTAGGTACCGTATTTTCCAGACTATAAGTTGCACTTTTTTTCATAGTTTAACCAGTCCAGCGACTGACTTGTAGTCCAAAGCGACTTACATACGTTTTTTCCCCTATTCATGACAGTTTTTGACTGACATGTTAAATGTTAATTCATACTGACATGAACCAAAGAGTAAACATTACCATTTGCAGCCAAGGAAGGGTCTTCTAGGCTTTTGACAACTACATGTTGTTCTTCTACCAATAACCCCCCTCTGCAAACATTCACTTACAGACAACTGAGAAAACTTAACAGAATTGCCCCCAAAAGTACAACAGAGCTTTAGGGCCACACTATGAAAAAAAAAATTAAAGCCATAAAATTACGAGAATAAAGTCGAATAAAGTCTTAATATTATGAGAATAAAGTTGTACAAGACTTTTTTTTCACTTCTCGTTTATTTATTTATTTATTTTCCATGAGCTGGATCCACAATGTGACCTGTCAATCAATCTAGTAGGCGTGTCAGCAAATGACCAATCCTAAGCTAAATGCTCCTTACCTGCAGAGCTGCACTGCAGTCCATCAGAGCATACCACCTTACTGTAAGCAGGTTCAAAGTCCTGATACTGATAATAATCTTATGCTGATGTGCTAAAAGTTTAACTGTCTCCTTATTTGTAAAATCAATACCAAAGTGGAACTTAACAAGATGCTCAACAGTCTTCATTTTACCACAGTTAATATGTGGTAAACCAGCTTTATTGTGTCGGAGTTCAGATAATATTATGACTCATTTAGTTTCAGATTGGCCATGTGCTGACACGCCTACTAGATTGTTGGACAGGTCGCGCCGTGGATCAGACTCGTGAAAAAAAAAAACCCCAAAAAAACCATGAGAACTGGAAAAAAAAAGAGAAGAAGCCTCATACGACTTTCTTCTCGTAATATTAAAACTTTATTCGACTTTATTTTCGTAATATTAGGACTCTATTCTTGTAATTTTATGGCTTTTAATTTTTTTTTCTTAGCATGGCCCTAAAGCTCCATCGTACAAAAGTGATGTGGAATGAGATTGGTGAATTTACCCATAACTTTACTGTTGAACTTGTTGGCTTGTTACATTAATTGAGCCAGTTCAGGATCCCAGGTATGTTCTCTGTGTTATTGTTATTTCAGATTAGATGTCTGTTCTTGCACTTTGTGAAGTACACTTCTAAATAAATGTGACTTATACTCTGGAGTGACTTATAGTCTGGAAAATACGGTACTTTTAATGTTTTTTGCCCAGTATGCCGCTCACTGCTACAGGACTTGTGTTTTAATCCCCCCAGAGACTAGAGCAGGCGTGTCCAAGTCCCCTTAAACTTCTATTGTATCTGAACTCAGCATTTTCTCCTCAAAACTGGAAGTCAAAGGTCTTTAACTGGTCACATCTCCTTCATAAAACAGTGTAGAGACAGAGCCTTCTGTCACCGAAGGATCAAGAATATTTTCAGTACAACTTACAATTTTTGCACAGCTGCTGTGTATTTGAGGCTTAGTTTGTACTCTGAGTTTCTGTCTGTCTGTTTCAGAGTGAGATCCCTAATGAGTCACTGGCTACAGCTTTACAGTCTCTTTTGATCTGATTCTATTTAGCCTTTTTATATAACTTATATTCATCTGAACGTAGGTGTTAGCTTGGAGTATTACAAAAGTACATCCTTCCTAATGGGTTTATACTGCAGAGGAACGTTGACTTATGTTGGAGTTTAAGGTAATAGCTGCAATACGTTTTTCAGAAATGCATTATTTTTATTTCCAGTTTGAATGTTATCAATTATTAGCGTGGTCCTGAAAGCTGCAAGTATTAATTTTTTACACTTAGAAGAAAAAAAGAAACATTTGCAAAATGTTGACTCTGGAAGGCGTCATATAACGACTTTAAAATCACTTTTTATGGGTTTGTGTTGCCTGTCAATCTGCTCACCAGAGGTTCCTGGCATCACAGGCCCGATTGGACCCTGATCAGGCGGACTGGAACTGGCCTCTGGTATGACGTTGTCCTCTGGAGTTTCCGGGTTGGCTGCATTGGGGACTGTGGGAAAACAAAAGAAAAAGAGAAACTCAGCCTTGGCGAGCTGCGTGAGATGAATTACAATGACGTCTTCTCTGTGAGGATTACTCTTATTATCATTTGATGTATCTTTTACACACAAAGGTTATCGCTGCCTGTGTCCAAAATGTGTCAGCAGAGAGGGTGACAGCACTGGAAGAGGGAAGGACCGGTGTGAAAGCCTGAGAAACGCACAGATATCCCTGTCCTGTCGTAAAAAATGAGCTCACATCTACATCAGCAGCTCCTTCAGCAAACACTCTGATAGGCAATTCCAATGTTCACACACACACATACACACGCACGCACACAATATACTTACAATACACTCAGGTCTGGCAGAATGGGGGTAAAGTAGTTATATATTAACTTTTTATCGTTTTACATTATTCATCACGTTAAAAGGCCATAATATGCCTTATTTATTGCTCTGGCTTTAACTCTGTTGAAGAGGCACACTTTGGAGGGGGAGATAATTGGAGAACCGGAAGAAAATTGGGGGGGGGGGGGGGGGAGGGGGGGAGGGGGCGGCGGAGGAGGAGGGAGAGAGATAGGTGGGGGGGTCCATGAGCTCTTGAAAGGAGTGCAAAGGAAACAGACTATATGACTGTGAGTTGTGTATGGTGGCCCTACGGTGTAAATGAACAACACTTGAAAAAACATAATTACATTAGAAAAAACTAAATTACATTAAGCCAAAGCGGAAGCGGTTTTTTTTTTGTGGGTGCGTTTAAAAAAAAAAAATTATTAACAACAGGCTAGCCTGCTAACCGTAACCCCATTGTGTGTGTACTGTACATTGTTCTGTTATATGTTGTTAATAAAGTTTAAAAAAAAAAAACAACTCCACCCCAACTCTGTTTTTTTTTCTCAAATGTAATTCTGTTTTTTTGTTGTTGTTTTTTTTATGTGATTGTGGCCACTTCCGCTTTGGCTAAATGTAATTCAGTTTTTTCAAATGTTGTATATTTACACGTTAGGGCCACCGTTGTGATTTCAGTGCACGGACTTTGAAGTCTTGGTGCGGTGAACACTAGTGGGTCCTCGGTGTGGTTTTACAGGGGCAGCAGACAGGAGATGGTTATAAACTATTACTGAAGCTGGTCAGATGGATGCCACAAAGCTCATCTGCATCTGTCCCAAGACCTGCTCACAATGTGTGTGTGTGAGCGAGAAATAGAAGTGGGAAGGCAATTTGTGTTCAAGGCCCCCGTGGCAAGTGTGTGTGGCCATGTGGGGGTGTGGGAGTGAAGAAAAGGGCTCGACATTCCGGCAGGAAATTTTCTGTCTCGAAACAATTTTTGTCTAATCTTGAGCAGACGCAATAAACAATTTGGGTGTGGGTCGTCTGACAGATGGAAGATAAAAGGGGGGGGGGAATAAACTGCATCTTTGTCTCTCTTTGAATGATGCAGGGGGTGGCGAGGTATGGTTCGAGCCTAAACACGCCCCTCTATCCTCTCCATGTCCAGACCACAGCTCCATCCTGATGAGCTGTTGGGTGCGCTCAATAATTGATGAGAAAGGACAGGAGTGAGAAGTGGGAACATTCACGCATGACAGAGGATACGAGAGGACGCGCAGCCCCCCCCACCCCCCACCCAATCCACCCAACACTGTGCCAACCACTGAGCATGTGCACAGTGCGGCCTAATGTTCTGACCCATTTTTTGTCTGTGCACGCTGCTGACATTTCCCTTAGCTATGCAGACAGCAACTACTTCAGAACTGCCAACCCGCCAGAAGGAGAGGGAGGCCGGGAGGGGGAGCGAGTGAGGGAGATGATGATGATGATGATGGAGTGACAGAAAAGAAAGTCAGGGATGTCGGAGAGAGGTGGATGAAGAGAAAAGAGGGGAGAGACGTGCGTGCATGGCAGTGAGTCAACACATTTTTAATGAGCACGGTGACATGATGTGCAGAGGGAGAGGCTGCTGAGTGGCTTCATGTTCAGCTTCTCCTCCACTTCCTAATATTTTAGAGACAAGAGGCGAAAGAAAAAACATTTAAAGCACAATCAGCGAGAGGGATCCATCTGCTTGTGGCAGATGATTCAACACGATAAGGCCCCAGACTGTTGACACAGTTAAATGTATATGCTTTTTGTAAATGTAGCATTAGGAGGATCTGGGCATATTTCACACTGGAGTGAATCACCAAAATAAACTCCAGTGCACGGTGTGCACAAAGACGGCAGAAGAAGGAGGACATACGGGAGGATCTGGGTGAGCAGAAGGCGTTCAGCTGCAGAGACGGAGGACATTTGAATCAAGCACACAACAACATCTGGGGTCACAACTGAGCGGGGCTTTCGTTTTATTATGTTTGCAGAAACAAAGCACAGAGTGGCTGTAGAAACGAAGGGCCCAGGGCGCTGAATAATGTTTGTTTTTATTATTGATTAGTCTGCCGAGGATTTTTACGTTTAATATTACAAATTTTAAAAAAGCTGCCCGTAGGCGCCAGCTCTGCCGATTGCATGAAAAAAAAAACTAATAAAAGAAAGGAAAATGTTAATTTTAGAAAGCTGAAACGAGCTCATGAAAGAGAATTTAATTTAATTTATCTATATATTTTATTTATCTTTAACAGTCAGTAACTATGAGGGTTTTCTTGCTAAAACAAAGTACCTTTAATTATAGTGCGAGTGTTTATAAAGCATTCATTCTACTGTGATCCGTTTTTCACAATTTCCGTTCTATTTCAACAAATCATAAATTAAAACATTCAGCTCGTTAGGAGAAGGGTGTATGACTTTTGGTATTGGTGCAACTTTAGCTTTTTGAAATATTTAGCCTTTTCTGCCATTTTTCCCTCATAGAAAATGAACTGAGCTCATTTTACATCCTTCAGATCTTTAGATCTGTTCACAACCTTTTACTGCTCCTGTCACATTTTGTTCTGCTTCAGCTTCTCTCAGCTTCCTTGTGCAAATTCCAACTGTTTTCAGCTACTTTCAGCTGTGTGTTCAGCTGTTTTGTGCCCCTTTCAGGACCTTTCTGCTAACTACATATTTTTTGTGCTTCTAACTTCTTTCTGCTAATCTCATCTTTTTATGCTCCTTTCAGGTTATCTCTGCAACTTTTAGCTTTTTCTGTTATTTCAGCTACTATTAAGCTGTTTTATGCTAATTTTAGCATTTTTGTCTAATTCCACATTTTTGCACTGATTTCAACTTTTTCAGCCTAATTTAGCAAAAATGTGCACTATCCACTTCCTTCTGGTAAGTTAAGCTTCTTTCGGCTTTTTTAGCTACCAGTACTTTTCAGCTGATTTTTGCTAATTTAATCTTATTCCAAATAATTTCCACTTTCTTGTGCTCATTTATGTTTCTTTCAGCCTAATTGGGTAAACATATTCTTTCTGCTTTCTTCTGCTAATTCAAGCTTGTTCAACCTTTTCAGTTACCTTTTTGGCATTTTCAGCTATTTTTGGCTGTTTTCAAATAAATTCACATTTTTCATGGTAATTTCTGCTGCTTTTAGCATAATTAACTTATTTTTTATCTTTTTCATTCAACCTTTATTTAGACAGGTTAATCCCATTGAGCCTCGAGGACTCATTTACAAGAGAGACCTGATTTCAACAAAGAATGATGACAACAATGAACAACAGCGACAACAATAAACAAATATAAAAGAGGTGTACAGATTTTTTTAAAAATTTAATTCCACATTTGTTAAGCTCATTTCAGCACTTTCTGTTTCCTTCTGGTAGTTTAAGCTTCTTTCTGCCTTTCAGTTACTTTTCAGCCATTTTTTTTCTAATTTCAGCTGTTTTAGCTACTTTCTTAATTTTTCTGATAATTTCTTTATATTTAAACAAATTTCAGCAAATACGTGTTCTTTCTGCTTTCTTCTGCTAACTTAGGCTTGTTCTTCAATTTCAGCGTGTTTTAGCTAATTTCAGCTGTTTCTCAGCAAGTTCTTCTGCAATAAGCATTCACACTGCATTTTCGCAGGAAATGCAACGTCTCTAGTTATCATTTGGTTTATTAAAATAAATGCTTTATATCAGAAAAGAATTGTGGAATAAATGCAGTAACGATGTGAAAAGTGCAAAACAAATGACACAGTGAAGAAAGTACCTCACGATTTATAATGTCACAACACTTCCTCGTTTGCTGCCTTCTGATGGTAAAAAGGCTCATTCTGGAAGTTGCATTTGACATTTTCAGCTCGTTTAAAGTCACAATAACCTGCATTTTAATTAGCATAAAAGTGGAGATGGCATTACTAAAAGCTTTTTTCATAATTTCAGATAAAAAAAAAATAAAACAATTATTTGAAAGTGCAGAGCAGCCAAAGCAAACTTGTTGTTGATGTCCCTCTAATAGCCACTGGGGCACAGAAATAGATGTTAAAAGTAGCAGCAGCATCTTTTTTTTCCTAACTGGGTTTTTTAGGGCACACCGATTGTGAGTGACAGCTCGCTGTGGGGACTGTTTTTTGAGAAATGAGTACACGGCTCAGCTGCGAAGTTCAGGAACAGCCGGGAGGCTCAGGAACAGACCCCAGTTGAGAAGAACTTTCCTAGAACTTTGCTCGATTGATGCATTTCCTTTCAGCTCCCATTAACACCATAATATGGACCAGTTTCCCTCTCGGTTAATACTGCGGAGTAAAAGCCAGCGCTGACTACAATAATGCAGCATTTCTGCCATGGCGTTGCAATCCCAGGCTGTCAGATGCTCAGACTGACCTACATGGAAAAAGCTAACGCAAAGTCTGTTTCGGAGCTGGTTATGGGGTATTTTTCCACTACCTGCTGAATTTGTTCCTGCTCAGACCTTGCTAGCATCAGCAGCTTGTTAGTTTCTACTCTTCCACTGACTGCTAGGATCCTCTGCTGTCATCTCACTAGCCAACATCCAAATATCTGCACACACTAGATGTTTTTTTGCTCTGCAGTGAGCCTCCTTATTTTTGATATGCAGCATTTAGGGTGAAGTCAGATCACCATGGTGGGCAGATGTTCCTCTCAGATGGAGGTTACTGTCTGTTTGGGTCAGAACAAGCACTGAGGATGGAGGGAACGTTTACACAGCAACACATCTGTGTACTGTTTCCTGTCAAAGCCAGGATATAGATGTCCGCATAGTGAGTAAAAACTATGTATAAAAGTGAAATGTATGATGCAAACCAAATGTTGCGTCCAAGGATATCTAAACAAAGCGTGCTTGTTTACTTCCTGCATTTTTAGATGACTTACCCCGACCGTGCACATAACATCCAAACCCCAAACACATTTTCTTTGTGTGATTACTCTGAGGGTCCCAGAACAACGGAGAGCGCTCTCCCTGTGAAGTGGAGTGATTCTACACAAGTCATCTGTCACGTGGATGTTATTTCTGTAGGATCTCTTTTCTAGTTTGCAAAAACTATTCCCAGACATAAAGACTCAACGTGGTGACGTCGTCGACAGCAGCGGGTGAGCTGCGTTGATAAAATCCTAAGCCCGCTGGAATATTTACCAGCTGCAGCAGTAAAGCTGGAAACGTAATATCCAAAATGACCAGGCAGAAACTCGATGGCTAATTAATCAGGTCACTTCATCACGGTGACGTTGGAATCATAAAAATCGGATAGTTCGCTGCACGGAGCGGCCCTGATTATTGATCGTTTGCAATCCTCTGATACAAACAGGGACCTACTGTTAGAGATAATTAACACAATATATCCCCTCTGTCGTTTAGGCAAGAACAAGCAGGATTCATTAATTCGTCATCTGAGAGTTTAGATATTTTCTTTTAACCCTCCTATTTTTCTTCTGCTGACAACAAATCAAGACTGTTTGGTTTTTACCACCACATAAAAGCATCTTAAGCATCTTTTGATGTAACGGTTGAATATCTTCCCATCCATAAAACTCACAGAACGGTTCTCATTTCTTATATGAATATAAAAGGCAAGGTTTGAATTATAATATTGGAGGTTCTTGTGAACTGTATTATATTTATATGGATTTATTCATGAATTCCTCCACTGTCTTCATTTCAGTAAAGTGAATTCTATCCACTAACTGTGCTAATGTCACAAGATATGACCGAGTGCTTGGAAAAAGGGTTTCGTCAAACTGCTGTGGCTTTTCTGAGGTCAATAAAAACATATTTTACACACAAACACACAAAAAAAGCCAGCGTTCCTGTTTGGTTTGAAAAGAAATCAGACTGCAGAACATATTGTCTCATCATGAAACATTTTTTCCAAGTGGCTCGGATTAATTGTATTTAACTTTAAATGTTTTTTTGACTTCCTATAACAACCAAACAAAAATGATCCAAGAATTGTTGAATTTGTTTTGTATGCTTGGTTAAGGCATAAAGTGTTCAGTCAGGTCATCTGGACGGTTTCGTTTTTTGTTGTTGAGACGTTTCATCCTTCATCCAAAGGACTTCATCAGGCCGAGGAGCCACAACAAACTCAGTCCCTTTGGTTCAGGGACCTCATACAGGTGAGAAAACGTTTCAGGGACCCCCTCAACACTTATGTTTATTAAATAATTTATTCAATCTGTCTCTTTAATGCAATGGTAACATAAATACTTAAGACCTGTTCTTTAAAAGTGTAAATACAATTTTTACACTTTTAAACACGGAGTATTTTTCATTAAAGACACTTGATGAATAAAATGTTTAATTTCAACTTCCAATTTCCAGAATAAAAACAGCCGTAGTCAGACCAAGTACCAGAGCTTAATTTATAAATCGCTTGACGCCGGAAAACAAAGAGTGGGCAGGACGGGGGGTGGGTGGAGGCGTCCTCCCCTAGAATGGATTGTTAAAACATTTTTGTAACCCAAAAAATTTTTTATTTTTTAATTGCAGACCCCCAACCACCGGCTCATGGATCCCCAGGGATCCGAGGACCCCAGTTTCAGAACCACTGCCTTAAACCATCTTATCACCAGCAAACTGGTTGGTCCACTATGTGGGTGCAGTGTTTCCCTTGGATAACTTGCCATGGCGGGGCGCTCATCTCGTCAGTGAGTTTTTGTCAACAGGGGGACACATGGATGGAGACACGTCATGTGCAACACGTTGCTTATACCGACAGTTTTATAGCGCGGGGGGGGGGCAGAGACACATCTGAGCTGCGTGCTGTTTGTACCGACAGTTTT